ATTGGAACCCTGTATTGGTTAAAAGTTACTTTGTTACTTTAAGAAAATAAAATATATTATGTACAATTTCACTTGGCATAGGATTTATAAACTCAATTTCATTATTTTTGTTGTTATTACTGATGAGTTAGCAGTCTCCTGAACTGTAAGGAATATACTTGGTTTCCCAGATTTATTAAGAGCAAGGAGAAAAACACAGAAGAAATGATCAAACTGAGTAAAATAAGGACGATGATTTTTTTTCTCATCTAGGTACCCCTATCAAGTATTCTCCGTTCTTCTAAAATGTACTGAGAAAAAAACGCCAAGACCAGGAATTATAATAACCCGATACTGTTAATTGTCTTACATAGAAGTCTATTTCTTATATAGTTTTAAAAATAATTTTGGTTTAGTAAATGTATGACCATCATGTTGTGAACACTTCGTGGATAGATTTCCCTGCCCTAATTTTCATTACGTTCCAGAGGAGAAAGGTTATTGGGTGGTAGTGGGGGTTACCTGAAAAAAACCCTAAAATAAATATATGAATCTTTCCCTAAAATTTTCTCAATATTTTTCTGTGACTTAACATCTCTAGAAGTAATGGATTTCAATGCAAAATGAAAAGTTTAGTTTGGGTGATTGAGTTGCTTTTGAAAAGAACAGCAATAACATGCACCCAAGGATATACAATATGATGAAATAGTGGTGGAAAAGGAGACAGCTGGTGCAATAGATTAATTGTTTGGAAACACCCATAGTGCCTAGAAGAACAGGTGCACAACCATATAAAATTCCCCATATGACCTCCAAGATTTTCTTGCATTAACCTGATTAAGGCAAGTTCATTTGCATGATTTTTGCTTTCCATATTTATTCTGCGATTTAGCAGAATCACTTCATATGTTACACATAATAAGAAAATACCTTATTACATATGATAAATCTTGTTGGTGGTAATTCTTTATTCTTACAATGTGCAAGTAATCCTGGTGGATATTGATATTCTAAATATGTTGACGATAGATGAAAGGTCCAACTATTCAATTTAAGAGTGCATGTTTGCGTTTGAAGCTCAAAAAAAGGAGGAGAAAGATACATGCCACATCCTCTTAAGATTTTCAAATAGCTGACTTCCAACTGAGACAAGCTTAGCACAACTATTAGTCCAACCAGTGGAAGGTTCTCTTTTTGACTCCGTTACTAAACCTGTTTTCAATGCACCCCATGTATTCTAGTTCAAGGACTGGCTGAGGCACAAACAGCAAGTTCAGTTACCAGATTTAATCTGTCAGGTGGAAACAGCTGTCAGATCCATCTGTGGGACATTCTTCAAGTCTGTAGATGAAACCCCCTCACCCTGAAAGATTCCTTAGGGATGCTCATATATTCTCACCCCCTCAACCCCATTCAAAAAAAAAAAAAAGGAAGGAGACTGTACAGCAGATGAAGCAAAATGACTGGCAACAGGAAGAAATGTTAGCAGTGTAAGATAAAGAGTCAGACTTCTCCCTAAACAAATGCAAATAACAAAGAGAATCCTTTCTGGTGTCAGACTTGTGTTGTGATGTGCCTTCCACAAGGACATTTGTTGTTTCTGTTCCTTTGATCACCTCTGACATCTCCATGACAGAAACAACCAAGTTGTCTCTGAGTTGGCTTGGATACCTTGCAGGAATTAAAATTTATCGACTGTGTCATCATTTCTCTCAGATCATTTGTTGGTTGCTGAACTTTCAAAACCACCTTTCCTGTGCTTCTAATGCATGAATGAATTTTCTTCTTTTAAAGTTTTACCCACTTACATGAATATAAACATTGGCATCCATTTAGAAATGGTATGAAAGGGAATAAATATTTACTCATGTCTTCAGATAGTCAAAGTTTAAGACAATTTGTTAAATGATGTCACTCAGTGTTTTCTTTTAGGCATGAAACCATTGCAGATGTCAAATACAGGAAATAAAGTAGGGGTGGAAAGAATATTTTAAAATGTTCTAAAATTGATCAAAAATGTTCTAAAATTGATATTTTCTGTTGGGAGGAGAATCCTGGACTGAGAATCTTTTCAGTTTGGCACTTACTTTTTGTGGAAAAAAAACTTTTTTAAAAAAACATAGGAGAAAAACAAACATTCTTTGTACTGCAAAGGCCCTTTTCTGTTAATAATTATTATTTATGCATAGAAATATTATTTCCTGAAAATGATGCAGTGGTGAACTTGTTCTTTGCAAAATTCACACTTTTTATGTATAAAACATAAAATCTGGACAGGCAGCAAAACCAATCCCTTCTTCAAAAAAGTACCAACTATACATTTTACATACAATATGTTCCAAGCAACAAAGCTTCTCATAAGTTCAGGAATTTTCTTGTTCAGTTTCATGATACTTAAGAAAATTGTTTTAAATCTTTTAATATGTTTGAAGATTGTTCTCATTACTATTCCATGTCAGTCACATGGTGAACGTGCTTGCAGTTTCAACTGTCTATTTAACAGAGCTGCTGTGATCTTGGAAGTATAGTTTCTATTTCCCAAAGTTATTGTGTTGGAGAATTTTCACATTCATGTTGAGGCACCTTCATCAAGGCCATCTCATGATTTCATGGATACCATGGCAGTTAATATCTGGCCCTACATGTGTAGTAGCCCACAGTCTTGATCTGGTTTTGCTGGTCAGAATGATGGTGGAGGTATTCTTTCTTTCTTTATTTTTATCCTGCTTTTCTCCCACAGATGAGACTCAAAGTGGAGAACAAAATAGAAAAACAAAACAAAACTGCATAATACAGATATCCATCAACCCCCCCCCCCCACCAACCTGACATATAAACAAGAAAACAACGTTTTACCAAAAAAACCCAAAAATTACATAAATATAAATAAGTCTAAAAATGATCACATAAATCATCAAGGTATATGGCTTGTAAAGAAACTTGTTGTCATGGATAAATCACTACTTGACAGGGTTTAGATTTGCCAGGACTCCCAACCTCTGCTGGGATTGTGGACCCATCAAAATAATCTATTTGAAAAGGATTATCCAACTGTTAAAATAGGTGATTCTGTTGATGGCCTGATCTGTGAAACAGGAAGGTGACCCAGGCTATTGACATGTTGCTCCCAAGCATCCTTTACTTGGCAGCACATCATGGTCTTCTTGGTTCAGGGCAATGGAATATTTGTGTAGAGAACTAGAGCAACAGTGAAGAGAAACTCAGAATGAATGTGACTAAGCATGGGTTAAGATCCTTTTTAAGAGATGCTCTGCAACCTTGAGGGCAACAACAGAATGATTCTTTGCCACCTTTTACATTAGTTTAATCTCATCAAGTGCTGCTATTCCAGGTAATGAAATGGTTATTGCATCCTAAACCACAGACTGTTGAAGAGTATCCCTCAGAAAAGTACTGTAGCCAATTTGCTAAATACCTGGTGGAGAAAATTGCCTGGATTCATTCTGACATGGCTGTATAAAGTAATCTGAAGAGGTAACTGAAGTATGTGTGTGTCCCATTTTAATAAATAAGATTTAATTTGTCCAGTAAGATGAGGTGGACAAGTTGCTTGTAGGGCTGAGGCCAATCCATTCTCATTCTAGCTAATTAAAGGTGCTAGAGGAGGACTGGCCATTTGGGTGGTGGAGACTGTAAATGTTTCCTTGAAAGAAAGCATGTTCAAAAGGAGCTACTGTAAGCACTTTCTTGAAACCTCACCTCCTTAGGTGTATCTTGGCCAGTTGCTAATCTTCCCTTACTAAGTAAAATCTTGAATAGTCTTAGAGAGTGGTGCTAGGGGACTACTGTTCAGTTATTGGGCCAGTAGCTGTCCCTGTGTCATCAGTATGCTAATAATGATACTTATTCTACTCTGTCTCTTCTTTAAAACTGGTGCTAAGGAAGCTATGGTACCAACGAATCCTTTTTTGGGTGCAGTAGAAAAGTAAAAAGACCAAGGCTTAAGACCAGGTAAGGCAGAAGATTCCTTTGGGCAAACAAACAGTGCTGTTCCACACGCCACTCAGCATTTGAAAGTGTAATTTTAACTATTCAAGAATTTATTGTAGAATTGCTTTTATCCAGCTTTTCATAGTTGTTTAAAGAGGACTTTAATGTGTTTTTTTTTTAATTTTCAAAAAATATTGTTTAAATTAATTTTTATTTGTTCATTATCCTGGGAGCCTTTGTAACTGGAAAGTGATACAGGAATCACTAGTATGATAATAATCATGATGATGGTGACAAAAAAGCAGCGGTAAGGGGGTATCCAATATGCTGAACTCTCTCAAAGTAGGTTCAGACCTTTGAATAGTACTTGCTCATGCAGAGTTGGACAATGGATTGCCGTGAGAGTAGCAGGTGGAGTGGATCAAGAATGGATCCACTGCTCTTGAAGGGATGGATCTACTGACTGCCCCTGTGGGAAAATAATCATGCAGGGGTTATAGACATTTACAAAGGAATTTATAGAATACTGTTGTGCTGAAGGATGAAAGGGTTGTTAAAAGAGTGGATTCTCCCTCCAGCAAATTGTGGTCATTATGCAGAAACAGATATTACTGGAGACCTTTGGGTCCAAACCAGATTCTAGTTCAGTGATGTATGGAGTATGAGTTTAGTATTGGTTTCTATCAAAGGAAACATTTTCAGAAAAATTGTAGCAGCTTGTTGCTTTTTTGAATAAGAGGTTACTGGAATAATATACACTCTCCTCTGAGAATGTGTACCATTCCTTCTGGACAGACATTCTTTGGACCGTACTATAAACACTCATAGAGGCATAATCCCAGGAGCATCTCTTTAAACAGACTATTTTTGTAAGTCCCTCGGTGTTTTCACTAACTATGCAGCTATTTCTGTGATATATTCCACCTGAGAAAAGCACCTTTTGAAAAGTGACATTATTTCAAAGTTTTGTTTGTTTTTAAATGACTAACAGGGCTGCTAGAAAATAAGAAAATCCTGCTGAGGCCAAAAGGTGCTGAATATGATTATAGAAAGCCTGACATTTTATCTAATGGATCCTGATTTGATTTTGTTAAGCTATGTACTAACCAAACATTAGGTCATCCATACATCCCGCTTTTGTGTACATATCGGTTACACCAAATCAGCTCTCAGTCAGGCAAAATCCTGGCTCCTCATTATTTTTGGCTTGGTTTTCAAGATTCCCCTCGTTCTCTCATCTGTCTTTAACCTACGCAAATAAAAAGACAAGTTAATATTTATATTCCTCAATCCTGCACCCCACAAACTAACCAATCTTCAAGGGAGGGGGGGGCGGAGGTTGCCTGCTCCATGCAGACAATTTATAGAGCCAAACAGATGTCCAAAACAGCTGACAGGACATCGACATTTTTAAACAGTAACAATGTAACAACAAGTGGGACAGAATTTTTTCCCGGCAACAAGTCTGCTCAAGCAGCGAGTTCAGGGAGTTAACTGCAAAACTGCTGCATATATTTAAACTTTGTGCCGAGGGTCATGTAAACATTCTTTTCCCAGACACTCTGCTGTGAATGTAAAATCTCACTGACCCTTCTGTGTCTTCCCTTGTAAGGTTTACCATAATTCTGTGACAAAGCTACACATTGTATCTGTCAAAGAAAAAAAAATCCCAAGTAATAAAAGAGGGACCAAAAGGGAATAAAAAAAGAAAAGAAAGATGCCATCATGCTATTGAAGGAAACCTGTCCGGTTATTATCAGTGGAATCTTGAGAAAAACAATTGGGTGACTCACCCCCTATTCAAAACATTTTCCTTTTCATTCCTTTGGGTCCTCTCTCCCTTTTAAACAAAAAACACATGGTTATTTCTGAAAAGTCTAAGCTGTCACTGTGTTTGCTTCCTCCTCCACCTTTTTTTTCACCTCCAAAGAAAACACACGTTTAATATATTAGTTTTTATGGACTTCTGTGTGGGAGCAGGCAAATGCCATAAGAGCTGTAAGAAAGGAACCATCTTGAAATATTACCTGCAAAATAAATAGTATCATTAAATTGCTTGCATTTTCAAGGCAATGCCTTGCTGTTCCGATGGGGTGAACAAGAACAAGAGAAGAAAGGGAAGATTACAATTTAAAATTCTGGTCATTTCCTTGCTGTCCTGAAGAGATATGTTATTGTCAGGCTCTTCATGCGTCAAGCCATATTCTTCCCATAGACAGCTGTGGGCCTTGGAGATTTCATATGGTAGGATTTGTGTGTGTGTATGTGTGTGTGACTGTGTTGTTGTTCTCTCTTTCCTCCCTCTGGTCAAGCTGAACCAGCAGGTGCAAAGTCATCACAGCTCTATTAGCTCAACCCATGGCAATAAAGACATGCTATTGTCCTCCGATTGCATGTCAACTCATTACTGGGCAAGCAACTTGTTCCAGGCTTTGCCCTTTCCCTGGGCAGGCCACACTTTCCTGCCAGGTCTCTTTTAGACCAGACCTCAGAAAGCAAAGTAAAATGAAGACATCAAACACTCTGCTGGATTCCAACCGCATTCCACTCCTCTGTCCTCACAGACTGGACCTGAAAAGCTTGTCTCCTCTTATTTCAGCTTTGACAAAAGCCAAACAATAGAGTGGCTGTTGGCAAAGCCCCCTTTTCTTCCCCCTGTGAAGGGCTGTGTGCATTATGTCAGGAATCTCCATTCAGATTAAGATAATGCATAGTCACTCTTCCCTTGTTTAGATTACAGCTCAGCCTCTCCCAGGGCTCTTCTCATTTTCTTTTCTTGCTTGATAATCCCGTGCTTTACCTACTGAGCTGTCCCAGGACTAAAGAGCCTAAATAGGAAGATAATTTCAGTAAAACTAATGCAGCAAAGACCTAGAGACACAGATGTTCTGGCTTTCTCCCTCCCTCCCTTCCTTATCCTAAGCTACAAATCTGGGTGACATTCCCAAAATGCATCTGTGAAAACCACCTTGGATCCAGAGAAGGGAATTATGTTTATCAGGAGTTTAAATGTAGATGTTTGCTTCAACATCCTTTTTTATCTATATCTTTCTCCCGGAATTTCATTTTGGGGAAAAGTCCATAATGATAGCAACAAAAAATGGCAAGACATTATGATACAATGCCGTGTCTTCATTTGATCTGAAGGCGGCGTGTACGGCTGTACAAGTTAGGATTATAGCATTCCTGTAAGTGATTAGAAATTCTGACAGTTTTGCTTTCTCCTACATTCAAACTTTTAAAACTTCAGTTTCTTTCTAGGACACATGCCAATAAATTCAGGAAATTCTTCAAAAACAAATTAAAGCAAACTTCTCTCTCATTTGGACTGGTCAATATCAATTGTCATAACTGTTCCTGTTGTGAAGAAGATAATGCTGGGCCTGCCTGTCATATAGCTGTGAAAGAAAATATCCTTGCAGGGGGAAAAGCTGTGGCAAGATTGGTACAGCGCTAAAATATTTAATATGCTGGGTTAAAAACACAAACCTGTACACACTAAACATGCAAAAGCCAAGATATGGACTTTTTATTTTCTTCAGCATGCATTTCTTTTTCTTTTTTAAACCAGATTCTTTCCAACCTAAACAAGCATAAATTTATTTTTGAATAATTCTTATAAAATAATCAGAAACAAAATTTTCATTCATCTCTAGTTCCTATAGCATAGTATGTTTGTTTCCCGGCTACCTCTATATTCTGCCTTTCTGCTGATACAGTTTTCAATTGATAGCAATTTCTTACAGTCCAGTGGATGTGATACAGAAATTTAAATAAGGCTAGGTAAAGGAAAGAAAAATACTATTTGCTATATGCAGTCTCTGATTTGACTTTATGTAACAAAATATTTGATTATTTTGCTAAAGTGCACCTTCTCCCTTCAGTCACTTTTCAAGTAACTTCAAAACCTGTGTGATCAATGGAGTTAAATATAACTTGCATCAACTGTATATAACTGTAGAAAATAAGCAACACTCTTTAAACATGATATATCTCAGATGTGGGATCATTGTAAGAGGGCCATACTCAAATTCATGCTTGCCAGACTATAATTCCTTTATTGACAACATGAGACATATTCACTTAGATACACATATAATTATTTGTCTACAGCATAGTACTATTCAAAATAGGCTCCACTAGTGGAGATGTATTTGTGCCACTTTTGACCCCAGTCATCAACTCCAGTTTGGACAAACTATTTTAGGTTCTCCCTGGTTGAGTTCCTGGTAGCATCTTCCACTTTACCTACATCACTGAAATGCTGTCCATGGGGGCTTTCCTTAATTTGACTGAATAAATGAAAGTCTAAGGATGCTAACCAAAGGTGGCGGACATCCATCCAGTTGGTGAAAACAAGACCTGGGGCTGACTGTAGCTCAGATCACGAACTTCTTATTGCTCAATTTAGAATAAAACTAAAGAGATCAGGGAAAATACACAGACCAGTTAGATATGATCTCACTAACATTCCTAGCGAATATACAGTGGAAGTGAAGAACAGATTTGAAGGACTAGATTTAGTAAACAGAGTCCCAGAAGAACTATGGACAGAAGTCCGAGACATTGTCCAGGAGGCGGCAACAAAGTACGTCCCAAAGAAAAAGAAAATGAAGAAGGCAAAATGGTTGTCTGCTGAGACACTGGAAGTAGCCCAAGAAAGGAGGAAAGCAAAAGGAAACAGTGATAAGGGGAGATATGCCCAGTTAAATGCGCAATTCCAGAGGTTAGCCAGAAGAGATAAGGAACTATTTCTAAATAAGCAATGCATGGAAGTGGAAGAAGACAACAGAATAGGAAGGACAAGAGACCTCTTCCAGAAAATTAGAAACATTGGAGGTAAATTTCAGGCAAACATTGGTATGATAAGAAACAAAGATGGCAGGGACCTAACAGAAGCTGAAGAGATCAAGAGAAGGTGGCGAGACTATACAGAAGATCTGTATAGGAAGGATAATAATATTGAGGATAGTTTTGCCGGTGTGGTGAATGAATTAGAACCAGACATCCTGAGGAGTGAGGTTGAATGGGCCTTAAGAAGCATTGCTAACAACAAGGCAGCAGGAGACGACGGGATCCCAGCTGAACTGTTTAAAATCTTAAAAGATGATGCTGTCAAGGTGATGCATGCCATATGCCAGCAAATATGGAAAACACAAGAATGGCCATCAGACTGGAAAAAATCAACTTATATCCCCATACCAAAAAAGGGAAATGCGAAAGACTGCTCAAACTTCCGTACAGTGGCCCTTATTTCTCATGCCAGTAAGGTAATGCTCAAAATCCTGCAAGGAAGACTCCAGCAATACATGGAGCGAGAGTTGCCAGATGTTCAAGCTGGGTTTAGAAAAGGCAGAGGAACGAGAGACCAGATTGCCAATATCCGCTGGATAATGGAGAAAGGCAGGGAGTCCCAGAAAAACATCTATTTCTGTTTTATTGACTAGTCTAAAGCCTTTGATCATAATAATTTGTGGCAAGTTCTTGGTGGGATGGAGAGACCAAACCACCTTGTCTCTCTCCTGAGGAATCTGTAGAATGACCAAGTAGCAACAGTCAGAACTGACCACGGAACAACAGACTGGTTCAAGATTGGGAAAGGCGTACGGCAAGGCTGCATCCTCTCACCCAACCTTTTTAACTTGTATGCAGAACACATCATGCGCGGATGTGCGGGGCTTGAGGGATGCAAAGCTGGGGTGAAAATTGCTGGAAGAAACATTAACAACCTCAGATATGCAGATGACACCACTCTGATGGCCGAAAGCGAGGAGGAGCTGAGGAGCCTTCTAATCAAGGTGAAAGAAGAAAGCGCAAAAGCTGGGTTGCAGCTAAACATAAAAAAACCAAGATTATGGCAACAAGAATGATTGACAACTGGAAAATAGAGAGAGAAAATGTGGAGGCCGTGACAGACTTTGTATTTCTAGGTGCAAAGATTACTGCAGATGCAGACTGTGGCCAGGAAATCAGAAGACGCTTACTTCTGTGGGGGGAGCTCAAAAATGGCAGTGGCCATGTCCCTGCCATATGCAGCAGCTGTATGAAAGCATTAAGGGTGACGCTGTACAAGTATGGTAGAAGAAAATCCATTCATCAGGATTCGTGGACTTAATGTGGTCCCGATGGTGAGGTGAAGGGGTGCCTCACCAGGAAGGTGTAAGTGAAGGGTGGAGTGAGCTGCAGGTGTCCGGGGCGCCTGGGGTATGGAAAAAAGAGATAGAGTGGCTCTGGGCCCAGAAAAATACAATTCTTTTACCTGTCTGGCCTGCCCTTGTTTCCTATTATTGTACCTCTTCCTCTGCCTCTCAGATCTTGTTCCTGAAGACTGCAGTGAAGTGGTGCAGGTGCGCAGGTGCGAGATCTTAGAGGCAGAGAAGGAGGTACAGTAGTAGGAAAATTACCATATTGAAATCAAATTAAAATTTTTATTTGGTGTGCGTTGGAAGAAGGGTAGTCTTACATGGCGAGTATATCCCAAACTCTATATTTTAACTGGAAAAGTTGGGGGTCGTCTTATATGCCCAGTAATCTTATATGCCGGAATATACAGTATATATATATACATATATATATATTAGGCCTGGGTAACAACGGAAAAATTTGTTTCTAAAATCGATTTGTATTTGGGGTTTTTTTTGTTTCGATATTTAAAATAATTACAAAATTTTCCTTTTAAAAAGTTCGATATTTACGAAATTTCGTAAATGGTAAAAAATTAACCAATCGATTTCCGAAACAATAACGAATCGATTCGTTAATGGCGGACGCGACCGCGAAATACGCTAAAAATCCTCCAAAACCTTCTGAAGCTTCCCTCTCCCTCTGTTGTTGACTGTTGGTGTGATATTATAATTTTTTTTCACTAATTAAACCATAAAACTGGCCCAGACATGCGGAAATAATAACGAAACGACCTCAAAACAATAACAAAACGAATACAATATCGAAATACGAAGCATTTACAAAACGTTTTTGAAAATTCGTTTTTTTAAATAATTGCTCCAGAATGGTTCGTTATCGTTTTGTAATTGAAAAAATTAACGAATTATTAACGAATTACGAATTAACGAAATGAAACCGCCCAGCCCTAATATATATATGCCTAAACAGCAGCAGCAGTAGCAGCAAGAGTATTAAGCAAATAGTCAAGGCACAATTGAACATAAAAGTTTGCTCAAACTGAATTGATTTCAGTGCTATCCTAATAATTCAGAGGGGAATCATATTAACAGAGCGAATAATATTTAACAGAGTTATATAAGATTACATACTAATGTACTGTATTCCATTTGCATTATTTTAATCTAACTGAGCTCTATGGAACTGTATCCCAAAGTGTGTATAGGATTGTAGCCCAAATAAATTCACCTTCCAAATTAACCTTGGGAACAGAAAACAAAGCCTTGACTATTTTAATCATAGATCCAGAGATTATAAATAAGAACTCAAGCTTGTCACAGGAGCGGAACAACTAGGCAGAATACTAAGAGGAATGCATTGTAAATCTCTCTGCAGATAGAGCATGGAGAAGACAATTGACTTCATCCTCTGAAGTGTTAGTAAATAACTTCAGCAGTGTTTAAAGGAAGCTATTTGCCATCATTTTCTTAATTGTAAAAATATGCAGTGCAGTTGCCAAACTTCACTCCTGCCATAACTTTCCTTGAAGTTCAACCAGCCAATGTAAAACTGTCAGGCAGATTGAAGGTGGTTGCTTCTGGCATCCATATATAATATTCAAAATGCAAATAATTATGTCAAATTATTACTCAGATGATTGCTGTTATCAGTGTATGTCAGAGGCTTCTGCCAGTGTAACAATAAAGAAACATTAGACATGATGTCAGTGGAATTTAACAGATGGAGACTGCAACCATATAAATGCTTTTCAGATATTATTTGCTTCATGTGGTGTCAATGATGAAGAAAGACAATGGGCCAATTATTGCTGACTCTGCCATTGGATTGTCTCTTACATGTTATATTGTATGAACTTGTCTTTTTTTAAAAAAGAAACAACGTAAGCATTATAGCTAGGAATTAGTGACTTCATTCACATTTCAAGAGAAACTTTCAAAAACCTGGATGTTTCTTCATAAATTTGGTGCAAACAATTTCATTTAAACAAACAAAAAAATTGAATGGGGGGGGGGTGAAAAGCCTAAATTTGCAGTTTTCTCTGGAACCCAGGAGGACTTTGGAGCAACACACACCTTTTGTTAATGTGGTTCAAAGCCATGTTAACCTGAATAAGCTCAGTGCATCATATAGCCACCATGGATTTCTCCACCCCCTTTTGGGGTTAAGTGTCTGTGTAGATGTGCCCATAGTACTCGAATCTCAGATTTGTCTTTCGTCTGACCAGGAACATTTATGTTTGAAGTTAGTTTCATTTTGTTTGACCTCATCTAGTCCGTTATAGTTACCAGCCACAAGTTTAGCATAATTTTCCTGGAATTAACTCCAAAAAGGGAGAAAAGGTATATTTTTCATAAGATGACCATTTATTTTGGTTTTTAGCTCTCATTTTACAGGCATATTACAAATGATATATCATTCCTCATTTATGTTACTAAAATATGCTCCTTTAAAATTATTGCAAATTTTTGCCAATTAAAATGTTGGGGGCCCTTATGGCCCCCAAGAAAACCAAAACAAAAGGATTTGGCAAATCAGTTCATATTCCATCCCAAAAATCCTTTTCTATCTATTAGGGTTGAGTAAAACTGAAAATCACAAAACCCTTGTGTGCATTTTTTCTTTGACAGTGGACATTACTGTACCTAAATATCCTAAAGTAACAGCTCCCCTCTGATGCTGGGTGCAATGCTGGTTAGTACTTCTATGGGAAACCACCAATGAATACTAGGAGCTATAGGGTATATCTCAGAGGAAGAGATTGGCAAAACCATGCTTGAGTATTCATTGCCTAGGAAAACCTTATGAAATTCATGGGTTGCCATAAATCGACAGGCAACCTGGAGGCGCACTAACACCCACAGCACATTAAATGGTGAATATAAGAATGACTGATATGGAGATGGGCTTGTCTGAACTTGGCAGTGATTTCTGTGTCAAGTTTTAGTTCCTGAGAGATATTTCTTTTATTTATTTATTTTGTCTTAGAATAGTGTATTTCCAGATCCCACAACATGAATTTGGAGTGTGATGGGAAGAGTAAACTGATATCTTAACAGTAAATTGTGACAGAACCACACTAAACTCTTGACCCTGACAGCTCTTATCACAGGCAAGGGAAAGAGGTGTTTTATTTTTATAGTTATAAGCAAGTTATCTGCAATCTCAATGGGACTGAGAAGGGAAACTGATACTAATATTTTTTTCAGATTTAAGCTAGATACCTTACTACTACTGCATATGCTTGTATCATTGGATTTTTCTAAAATTCAAATGTGGAACAAAATGATGGCAGGTGCAGCTAAAAGCAAAAATGTGTCTTAGCTAGTTTTGACTCTCCAGTCACTTTTCTGGCTGTGACTCTCCAGTCATTTGTTTTGTGAGGATGGAGAAATGCACACTATAATGATGTTGCTTTTTTCTTGCTAAACGTTTTGGAGGAGACCAGGGCATGAAAGAGACACTAGACTCTTCCTTGCTCTGGTCCGCTGGCATTAGAGAGACAGTATATCTATTTGAATTGTTAATGTTCTGTGTGTTCAAGTCATTTCTGAGTCATGGTTCCCCTACTGGGGAGTATTCTTAGCAATTTTTTCAGTGCAAGTTTGTCCTTGCCTTCATCTGAGGCAGAACTAAAGCAGCTAGGGCAAATCAGGGTTCAATGTAGCCCCACACTCCAACTCCTATGAGGAGGACAAAGAAAATGGTCTTAGAGTGTTTTGGCCCTAGCAAAAATAAAAACAGTGGTGGGGTGTGTGTGTGTGTGTGTGTGTGTATATATATATATATATATATATATATATATATATATAGAGAGAGAGAGAGAGAGAGAGAGAGAGAGAGAGAGAGAGAGACTTATTTTTCTACATCTCTGCCATAATCCCTGAATGCAGTGGCATGATGCTAGAAATCAACGAAATAAATAAAATAATAATAATTTGTAATAAAATATGACAAATAACAGCACTTTGTAAACTTTCCTCCCTCTGCAATTGTAAGATTGCTCAAAGTTACTCTAGAGATCCTAAAGCTCTCGGGCTAAAAATTCTCAAGCCCCTTCCTTATCTGCAAATTTCAGAATTCCATAAAATGAAATCATAACAGCTAAACTGAATTCATAGTGATGTAACTCTGCAAGGAAAAAATAGTTTCATGAATGCACGTTTCTTTGTATGTTTCTTAAATATTTGTAGTCTGGACCAAAGGTACTTGTTTTGGGGAAACCAGAAATATAAGTAAGAAGGGGAAATGAGACAAATGTTTTCCCTTACACATTTAGTACCCAAGAGACTGACTTTCTTACTCTCTGTCCTAACTGGAAAAGGCAAAATAAATGTGTTTTGTTATAGTTTAAACACAAGTTTGGTTGTAATGGGACCTATGTCAACTCTACAGTATAGATTATTAGTTAAATTTAGTACCAGAGATTTAAAAGAAAACAATTCACCACATAGCTCTGGCAAAAACCTTGTGTCTTATGCTTAGTTGCTTTATTTCCTGTTCAGGGGAAAACATCTCTGAAATAAAATTCAATGTCCATGCAATTGCATGTTTAACTAAATGTTAGTGAAAGGCCAAGTTTTGAACTATAGAGGCAAAAATTTTAATAATAAAAAAGGAAAACTATATTAAAGAAGAAAATGACCAAAATTAAGTATTTCATTCCCATAAAGATTGGGAAAAATCTGGTATTTCTCCTAATGACTAAGAGCAAAAGTCCCAACAGAGGCGGGGGTGGGAAGAAACTTGTAAGATTACTGACACAGAAAGCCTTGACTTTCACTGCCATGTTTGATGTGCATTTTCACATGACCCTTTGCATGAACAGGTCTCACTCTTAAGTAGATTTACAAACAAGGAGAATGAAAAGCAGTGTGCAGAAAAGCAAAGAAGAAGTGTAAACAGAGGGTGTAGATGGAACAAAGAGATTTGAATCTGAATATCCAGTTAATGATTCAATTAGTTTTGCACTTTGTTAAACTCCGGTAATCCTTCTTTACTACCTTCCCATATTGAACACCGATGAATGGAAGAATGCAAAGGATCTTAAATAAAACAGCTCTGTAAAAGTAAAGTCTTTTGCAAGCCATTACAGCTTCCTAACAAAATGCTGCCTTTTGAATGAGACATGTAGTAGATAGACAGACTCTGGATAGATAATATATGATTTCACTGAATCTTTAGTCAGTTTTAAAATAACATTCTGCATCCTTAACTAATCCCTTTCATTATACTCTATTTTAACTCAGTGCTAGTAATTTAAGGATTAAAGAGGAGAGACCAAAATGTTATTATCTACATACAACCAAGAATCTCATAATGTCTTGTCTTCCATCCCAATTAATATTCTGTTTTATACTCAACTTGTGATGGATCTTGTATTCACATTGACCTTGCAGTTTCTACCCTGCAGCTCCTGTCACTCACCTTTCTTCTTTGCTCTTATGATATCTCCCTAGATCTGGTGCCAGTATAATAGACAATTGACTGTGCTGATCAGCGGGTTCAGTATGGCAAAGTGTGACCAGTTATCCCTGTTAGTTATTAATTTAAACATTCAGGAACAGTTGCAGAAAAGCAGTGAAGATTTCCTGTAACAGATAAACATGTGGTCTTATCCTGGTTCCACACACAGTACATTGCATGACCTCCGTTTCAAACAAAATAATTTGGGCTGCATCAACACTTTAGAATTAATGCAGCTTGACACCACTTTAACTCCCATGGCTTAATGATTTGGAATTATGGGAGTTGTTGTTGTAAAAGATCTTTAGCCTTCTCTACCAAAGAGGGCAGGTGCCTCACCAAAATGTAATTTTGAGGAGTACATAGGACTGAGCAATAGCAATTAAAGTGGTGTCAAACTGCATTAATTCCCAAGATGCACCCACTGTTCCCTGAACTTCCACAACTTGAACTTCCAAAGATCCTATTAAGATCCCCCTCATTTCCCTCCTTCTAATGGCCTTTTAAAAACTGTTCCTGTCTCTAATTCTCATTAGTTCTATCTAACCATTCAAGAGACAAGATTCTAGATTAGATCCTTTCCCCATAGCACACCACCCTAGTATTCCACAAACTGTGGGCCCTTATACACATGCATTATAATCCAGGGGGCAGGGGGCTAAACAATGTTTAGCCAAAATGCGGGGGGAATAAGAAGGAATTGGATTAAGAACTGAAAACACATGTTTAAAAGGCGTCCTTTAAACCTGAGTCCTCCTGAAAAAAGGGCACCTTTCCATGCCTGTGTATCCCTGTAGGCATGGAGAACACATGCTCCTCCCGAGCACATGCGTATCTGTCAAGCCTGAAACAGATGATCAGCTGATTAGCTGTTAAATGCAGACACACATGGCTCAGGGAAGCAGAAGGAAAAAGAAAATACAAATTCTGTCTTTTACACTTTGTAATCTTAAATAGAGCTTGACTTAAGAATTTGGAGTGAAGGTATTGCTTCGCTATGTGCTGGATTTCATATGTGCATCTCTGGAGAGATTTTTTTTTAAAAAATCTTCAACCCGATGTCCCCTGTCCACCGTCCATCTTAATATGGATCAAAAGACAGATGTGAAGATGGCAGGGGACAATGTCTCAATCTGGACTGCCTCATAGGTACTGTGTTTTTCAAACTCAGTTCCCTGTTCCACAATTTTGGACTGTCTGGAAGTGCCCTGTGAATGGTCAGGCACTGTCCAGACTTGTCTTCCAATATGCAGCACACCAATATATCTTTCCAATCAGACTTCTGACTGGTAACTGTGAGATCATATACTTTTCTTCCAAAGTTAATATAAAACCAACATCTGCTAACAATGGATGAGAATTTCATTCTCGTTTGTTCTTATGAGAATTCCTCAATTTCTCCCCCTTTTTGGTATAAAAAGAACTTAATTTTTTAAAGTTCAAATGTAGGAAGAACTGACCTTATTCCATATATATCTTTTTTGTTTGTTATATAGGTGGATATTCCCTCTTCCACAACAAAAAAGTCCTCTGACTCATCATTCAGCCTCTGATGACTATGTGGCAAGAGGAGAAAATTGGAGAATCATCTAGCTGTGTTATCATAGCCAGATACAAAATTAATATATCATCCAGTGAGTTATCTGAAATATCCTGGCAGATATAGTACTTATAGTGGCAGAAGAGAAGTTGCTCAGTTTCTCAAATTCTTGGACAGTTCTAAAAAAGGATGAAGTTTATGTTGTGCTAGGATCAAAAAAAAGTTTCAAGAATTTTTGATATGCTGTTTCTTTCCACCTAGCATTCTTGAGAGACTGAGGGCTCCAAATTCAATCTCAGTTGGGATTTCCATGACTTTCCATTCCATCCCTACCATTTAGGACCTCATCCCATGGCTTTAGGGATCCATATCCATGTGTTTTGAAAACTGAACCCCACAGGAATCCCATGGAGGCCATCACATGATGTAAGGGCACTTCTGGTGGGACTCCAACTTCAAACAGCAGAAGCAGCAGAAAGTGAGGGAAAGACAGACCTCATTGTGGAAAGGATGTGAAATGGCTGGTAATCACAGAAATTGGGGGGAAATGGAAGGGAATGGGGTAAGACAGTTTCTTCCATTTCCCCCCAGTTTTCCACCACTTATGATGTCCTTACTGTTTGATTTCTTAGCATGCTACATGACCCAGTGGAAGTCAGTGCAAGGTTTCCTGCATTGGCTTGAAGTAAACTCAGACCACAATTTATATGAGAGTAGAACTCCTTATATCCTGGGTCAGGAGGTGATGTGCCAGTGAACTGTGAGCTCACGAACTGTCCCATGTGGTAACTCAATAGTAAATCTCTTTAATCCTGATATATCAGGGCATAGGTAGCATAGTCTGTGTTTTGACCCTGTCTAGGCAATTGGGGATTATAGAAGGGAAAGATCTTGAAGTCTAAGCTCTCCTGTTTTGACCCAGTCTCCTTGAAGTCACCCCTTGATGGGATCTGAGGACTGTTTTTCTCAATCCAGACCAACAGTTTGGACTTGATAGATGTTCTGGTCCAAGGAAGAAAACATTAACTAGAGTGGCAAGAGAAATATCTTTAATTCTATTTTTCTGGGTATGGGATAAACTAGGGTGTATCAAATTAGGAAGTAACCTTAGATTTGCAATGCTGTGCATTTATCTAAGGTTATTTTACACAATGATGACTGCTAAGTTGGGAGTTAGCATAACTCATTTGAATAACTACTAAATAATGACACTTAGCAATTTGTAAATCATTATAAAGGATGAGGCAAAGTTAATGAATAGGTGTATGTAATGAAACAACTTGCTTCTGTTAATGGATTACAAGACTATGTCTTGAGAAATAATTAGATTATTTTCATGCCTTGTATTGGCAGTATTTCTTTGCTTCTCAGTTTCACCGCTCCAAGTCCTGTCAGCAGCATAGAGCCAGAATTTATTACACTGATAGATAACACTATATGTCCAGCCTAGTTGTTAAGTTTGGTACAGATAATTCATTGGACTGATAATTGTGTTATACAACTTTCCCAGTTTGATCTGAATGCTAAGTACAAATTATGTTAGAGATGTTAGAGCTTGTTACAGAAAGCAATTGCCAGAATATAATTACTAATGGTAAAACTTTCAGCAGTGCTTAACCGATACACAGTATGGCCCACAAACACTTTTGGCAACCCTTTTTCTAATTAAACAGGCTTAACAAATGGCTAATGAAGTCCTTTGTGGTTCTCTATGAAAAGCACTAGAGAGGAAATTCTACCAAGCAGATGTGTTTCACAATAAATGGAAGCAAGCCCTACATTTCTTCTATAATCCCATCCTGGATGGAGACACTGCAGAAATTAACATTTCAGATTCTAACTTCCAAGGCTTCAGTTCAGTTTTCAAGGCTTATTGATTAATTTGTTTTGGTTTGTTTGTCTTACGTTGTGGTATCCTTTTGCTTAAAAGGAATCTTATGTTCTACAGCTACTGCTCACACATATTTAGATATGACAAGTGGTAGAGAAACTTCAGAACTTCACAGGCACCTATGTAAATTCAAGTACAATGTGAGAAGAGCTGGAAAGCAGATATGAGGGTTATGCTGCATTCACAATTCCCATTCCTTTAATTCTAATTAATAAAGCAAACATAGGAGGCAATGTAATTTGAGTAAGAATATTTTATTATTGTTATTCTTCATTACCAATGAGTTTGAAAAATTGTTCCAAAAAGTGTGGAATACAAAGGCTTAAGAATTCATACTGTACATCTGCAATTTTGCACACACTTGTTTAGGACTATCATTGATCGTGGTGGAATTTACAATCAAATGACATATATCTGGAGAAAGGCAGGATAAAAAGAAACATGGCAATATGGTGTTTGAGATACTGTTTTCAAATTGTAAGTTGGAGCCTTTGAAAGCATTTTTCCCATACTCTGTTTGTTAGGGTGCTTTTATGGGCCCATCCGAACAGTCCTGAGACCTGTCTCGGTTTTTACCAGAGGCGTGCAAACAAACCTCTGGTAAAAACAAATCAATTTGGAATAAAACAAAGTTTCCTTAGTTTGTTCCGAATTAATTAAATACTTCAGTAGATCCGGGCCTTACTGTGGGGACTTCCACAGACCTGGGGGTGAGTCCCTAAAGCCATCCCACATCTTTTGGGCACCTGGAACCCACAGGTGCAGGAGGGCACCCACCCTCACCTCCTCTTCCCCAGCCCCCAATTTCACCCTAAAACTTACTTTAAAAGGTCCCTTGCCACCATAAGCCTCTCCTCACATCTTCCTGGCATGAGAAAATGATGCATGAGGAGATGGGGGGGGGCAAGGAGAGATTTTCTTTCTCACCCCTCCCCTCAGGCACCATTTTCTTGAACCAGGAGGATGCAAGGAGAGGCTTAATGGTGGCAAGGGCCCTTTTAAAGTAAGTTTTATGGGGGGTGGATGGGGGGTTTCAGGGCGGCTTCATCACATCCTGAGTTCAATCAGGATATCATGTAGTCACCTGCTCCAGGAAAGCCCAGGGTTTGGGTGGGTGAGTGGAGACTAGAACCCATGCCAAAGCTGGTTATTTTAACCTGCTTGGGAGTGGGTCTTAGGGTTGCATGGAAGCACCCTGTGAATATACCTAATCCTATGTTCAGTGACCTTAGATTAAATCTGATTCAGCACAGTGGGACCTGCTTGATAAACATTCAATAGCTTGAGCTGAATGATTCTCTGAAACCTATTTCTGGCACTGTGAGCCACCAGGCTGTGAGACACCAGCACGGTCCCTTAAAAACACATGCACACTTTGAACACCATTTGGAATTAACTCTACTAATGAAATCATTCTACAGCATGAAATGCCTGCCCTGTGTTGATAGTGGATTAATTCAAGTGCCTAATACACTTGTGAGCTATTATTAAATAAAATACCAACAATGGCAAACAAGAATCGTACAGGAAATCACTAGCTGCTTGTCTCACTGTGTCATTTGGGTCTGCATTTTTCAGGCTAATTTAACAGC